GAAAATGGAAGTCTGTGTTTTAGTGTTTCCCTCTCTCTGTTGTTTTTAGGTAATTGCCAAAAAGCTAAAGAAGAAAATGCCAAGTTTACAGTACCATATTCAAACCCAAAGTCCAACAATTATCTTAGAACAGTTATACAAAACAAGGATTTGCGCTTCACTGTATTACTAAAAGATAAAGGTGAGTTCTCGTCACTGTTTTACTATGAATTTTGTACAAAACAGTAATTTTCACAAAGCTATAATTGTGAAATTATTTTTATTTTTAAATCTTATGTATATATTGGTGATAGTCTAAGGCAGAAGGTAATTTGATACTTATATACAAAACTACTTTTTAGATATTCAAGACACAGGCCCATTCAGGGGTCAAATTATGTTTTCTTATAAAGATGTAACAATCTTACTGTTTGATTTTAAAGCAAAGGCTCTTTTTAAAATAAAGACAAAACATGATATACACTCAAAATTAAAATTAATCATTCCTCAAGTCCCCAGGTTCCATCTGGGTTTAAAATGAAAATAGTTAACTTTACACCATGTACGAGGAATTTCAAAAAGTTCATGGAAAAACGGGATTAACAAATAACGGAGTTTTCCAACAAAGTTTTTGAAGCCCCCCCAGTATATGATAGCGTAGTGGTTACGAGTAGTGCTGCCAACCTCAAGGTCAGCAGTTCGAAAACTTCCACGGGAGAAAGATGAGGCATTCTGTTCCCGTAAAGATTTACAGCCTCAGAAACCCTGGGCAGGGTCACTATGAGTTGGAACCGACTCCGCCGTACTTAACAACAACAACAAGTATATGATCACTTCTTCAAGAAATTTTAGCTCCAAGCCAAAATGGGCATTTAAAATTAAAATGCTGGACAATGTGAGATATCAACTTCAGTAGCTAGTACATAAGTGGGAATTCTATGGTCATCTTATGTGACTTCAGCCACTGTTTCTTCATTCATTGAGGGTAACGGTTTTCCCTCTCTTGGCACATCTTTGAAGTTTTCCGACCTTCCTTAAAATACTTCATGCATCTAAAATCTGTTAAGTGGGACAACATTCCTATAAACTTGTTGCAAGCTTCAATGATTTGGAGATGTCCATTTGATTTTTGTTAAAAATTAGTTATTAGCCTTGACCACAAAATCATTTTTTTCCAAGGTACAAAAAGTATCTTTTTATTTTTTTTAATGGCACCCTAATCAGAACCGATTCGACGGCAATTCATAGCAATAAAAATGTGACTAGAAGTCCTGGTATGGGTCTGCAAGATAAGCACTGAGCTACTAAGCACAAGGTTGATGGTTCCAACCCACCAGCTGCTCCTTAGAAACTATAAAGGATCACTACAAGTTGCAATGAACTCAATGGCACTTAACAACAAGGAATGAAACTAATGCAAGTAAATTTCTGAGAGCAATTGTCTGCAGCCATCCACTGATGACAGAGACAAGTTTAAACATGTTTTATTTGGAGTAAACCTGTGCATGTATGAATTGTAACCGTAGTAGCAATAATTGTTGATTCACCTTTACATAAAGGTCAATGTTAACATGTCATACAAAAGCTAAGTTATGCGGGTACCTCATGAGACTTCAGAGAGGCCCCTCTCTTTTTTGTCTCAGCAGCTGACATGACAACCAGACTGTAGAAGACCCAGAAACTTAGAGGCCATGTGAGCCACAGCCATGGCCGCATTGGCAAGCACCAGAAGCACCCTGGATGCCGGGGTAATGCTGGCAGCTTGCATCACCATAGGATCAACTTTGACATATATCATCCAGGTTACTTTGGAAAGGTGGGTATGAGGCATTATCACTTAAAGAGGAACCAGAGTTTCTGCCTAACTGTCAACCTTGATAAATTATAGACCTTTGTCAGTGAGCAGACAAGGGTAAACGTTGCCAAAAATATAACTGGAGCTGCTCCCTTCATTGATGTGGTGTGATCAGGTTACTACAAAGTTCTGGGGAAGGGAAAGCTCCCCAAACAACTTGTCATTGGAGGCCAAATTCTTCAGCAGAAGAGCTGAGGAGAAGATTAAGGGTGGTGGGGGAGGGGGATCCCTGGTGACTGGAAGCTACATGGAGGTTAATTAAATGGTAAGTGCTTTTCCCATTTAAAAGAAAAAAAAAAAAATGCCTGGTATAATTTATTAAAATTTTTGAGGCACTAAATAAGTCTATATTGGTAGAAAGAAAAGCTCTTTTTACAAAATAATTCCAGATAAGAAAAGTAGAGAGAAAGATGTTGTTGTAGTTAGGTGCCCTCGAGTCAGTTCCAACTCATATGGACCCTATGTACCACAGAATACAACACTGCCCAGTCCTGCACCATCCTCACAACTGTTACACTTGAGCCCACTGCTGCTACTAACTGTGCCAATTCATCTTGTTGTCTTCCTCTTTTTTGCCGACCCTCCACTTTATCAACCATGATGTCCCTCTTCAAGGACTGTTCCCTCCTGATAACATGTCCAAAATATGAGAGATAAAGTCTTGTCAGCCACACTATTAAGGAGTATTCTGGTTGTACTCCTTCCAAGGCAGAGTTGTTTGTTCTTCTGGCAGTCCATGGTACTTTTAATATTCTTCTCTAACACAACTCAAATGCTTCAATTCTTCTATGGTGTTCTTTGTTCATTTATCCAACTTTCACATGCATATGAGGCCACTGCTCGATGGCACCTAACAACAACATGAAGCCATTGAAAATATCATGGTTTGTGTCTTGTGCACCTAGTCTTCAAACTGGTATCTTCGCTCTTTAAGACTATAAAGAGGCGTTGCGCAGCAGATTTACCTAATGCAATACATGGCTTGGTTTCTTGACTGCTCCTTTCATGAGTGCTGTTTGTGGATCGAAGCAAAATGAAGTCTTTGAACACTTCAATCTTTTCTCCATTTAACAAGATGTTATTTATTGGTCCAGTGGTGAGGATTTTTTGGTTTCTTCATATTGAGGTGCAATCCATACTGAAGTCTTTTACCTTTATCAGTAAGTATTTTATGTCCTCTTCACTTTCAGCAAGTTAAGCTTGTATTATTTGTTTATTGCAGGTTGTTAATGAGTCTTCCTCCAATCCTGATGCTATGTTCTTCATATAATCTAGCATCGTGGATTCTTTGCTCAGCATACTGTCTAAATATGGTGAAAGAATACAAAACTGGACCACACCTTCCTGATTTAAAACCATTTAGTATCCCCCTTGTTTTGTCTGAACCATTGCCTCTTGGTCTATGTACATGTGTCTCATGAATACAATTAAGTGTTCTGGAATACCCATTCTAGGCAATGTTGTCCATCCTCATGATGCACAGTTAAAAGGCTTTGCATAGTCAATAATGCACAGTAAACATCTTTCTGGTAATCTCTGCTTTTAGCCAAGATCCATGTGATATGAGCAATAACCCTAGTTCCACACCCTTGTCTGAATCGAGCTTGAATTTTGGGCAGCTTCCTGTTGATATACTGTTGCATTTTTTAATTATCTTCAGCAAAATTTTGCCTCTGTGGGATATTAGTAATATTGTTTGGTGATTTCTGTGTTCCATTGGGTCACCTTTCCTTGGAATGGGCATAAATACAGATCTTTTCCAATTGGTTGGCCAGGTAGCTGTTAAAAAGCTCCAACTACCACAGTCCTGGGTGTGACGCTGTAGGATAAACACTGAAGGAGCTCTGGTAGCGTAGTGGTTACGAATTGGGCTGCGAATCTCAAGGTCAGCAGTTCAAAACTACCAGCTGCCCCACAGGAGAAAGATGAGGCTTTCTGCTCCCGTAAAGATTTACTGCCTCAGAAACCCTGTTCAGGGCTGCTATGGGTAGGAACTAACTCGACAGCACTTAACAACAACACTATCCATAAGGTCTGTGGTTCAAATCCACCAGCCATTCCTCAGAAACTCTACAGGGTTGATATGAGTCGAAACCAACTCAACAGCACACAGTAACAACACATTAGTGGGCCAATTCAGAATGTATATGTTGTTGTTGTTATGTGCCGTGGAGTCGGTTCCGACTCATAGCGACCCTGTACAGGGTTTCCGAGGCTGTAAATCTTTATGGGAGTAGAAAGCCTCATCTTTCTCCCGCGGAACAACTGGTAGTTTCGAACTGCTGACCTTGTGGCTCACAGTCCGATTCATAACCACTATGCTACCAGAGCTCCTGAATGTATATAGGCAGCAGTATTATATCAGTGTGAAGTTTATCAAATACACATGAAAGTATTTTGAAGTTAAAGGGTACCACGCCTGCAATTAAGACTCAAACAATTAGAAAAAAAGGAAGAGAGAATGATAAACTGACCAATGCTAACATACAGAGAATCTGAGTGGGATAAATAATTTTTTTGTACTTTTCTCTGAATCTCAAATCATTTTGTAATAAAAAGTTGTGGGTTGGGGGGAGGCAATAGATGAAAACAACGACCATAGCCAGTTGAAACTATCTTCTCTAAAAACAATGCTATCAGTATCATCTTTCTTATACTCCACTCATCAGATCATGAAATTGTGGAGCTAGAAGAAAAATACATTCTCTCTAACCCAAACTTCTCAATGTTTTATCAACAATAAAATCAACAAGGGACTGAAACATAACTGTTCAGTCACGATGATACAAACCAAGTCTGTATTATTCATTATTACTATCCCACCTATTAAGATGGCATAAACACTCAAATAATTGTGTTGGTAACTAAAAGACAGTCCATAGTGCAGGGGGTAGAAAAAATGTGTGAATAGATAATCATAACACCAGTGGTAAAAAATAATAAAATGCCACGAGACAACAAAGAAGGGAGTTATTTTTGCTTGAAGTGATCTAGAAAGGTTTCAAAGATTCATAATGCCAAAAGCTTGAAAGGTAAGATTTCAACAGATATTGAAACAGTGGGGTGATCAGAGAAGGTTGGGGAAGGGGAACAAATGACAACTAAAAATAGCCTGAAGGTATATAAATATTTGGCATTTTTAATGAATTTTTTAACACAAGCTTACCTATTGTTGCTGCAAGTTCTGGGTCAAAAGTATCATCTGTGAACCTCAAGAGCAGGCTAAAAGAGAAGTTAAAAAGACAAGATTAGAAATAGATGTTTCTTTCTAATCATTTGATAAATGTGTTCATGACTGACATTTGCAACAAGTTATTAGACACAGAAAGAACAGCTAATACAGATCTATCAGCTAGGAATACTGTCTCAGTGAAAGTACATATAGCAGAATTTAATCAGGAAAGTCAATTAAAGAATCCCAAGAGCAAGTCATTTACTAGCATCCCCTGGCTCCATTACACAATTCCCCAAATGTGAAAGGTTTTTTGTTTTACTATACTGGAATGTCCTTCTGAGAAACTATTAGCAGTGTACCAAGCTGAATTGATTTGGGTAAAGGAAGGAGAAGTAAGAATCTCTTGGAATACAAAAAACAAAATGTGCTATGTAAAACACTCTAAACTCAAATGAAAACAAAAGGGCTGAAAGTCTAGCATTTTTATCACAAGTCAAGGACTACTACCTATGTTGAAATTAAAAATTGAGTAAAACAACGGAAGTTCCAAAGATAACAATGGCCAGAGTTGTTGTTATGTGCCAGGGAGTCGGTTCCGACCCATAGCAACCTGCACAGGGTTTCTGAGGCTGTAAATCTTTACGGAGCAGAAAGCCTCATCCTTCTCCTGCAGAACAGCTAGTAGTTTCAAACTGCTGACCCTGCGGTTCGCAGCCCGATTCATAACCACTAGGCTACGAGAGCTCCTTAATGGCCAGAGTAAGCATATGCTAGATAAGGAGTAGACTCAAGTAGGCAATATAGAGTTCCTGAAGATTTTTAAAGAGAGAATCGAGGAGAAATGCTCTATGTTTTAAAAAGTTAATGCCAACAAAAGTCAACTGTCACGGCTATGGCGAGAGATAATGAATAGAAAGCCTCATCTTTCTCCCATAGAGTGGCTGGTGGGCTTGAACCGTGGACCTTGTGGTTTGCAGTCAAGTGTTTATTGCATGGAGCTACCACACTCCCAACATCCACTATATGTTCTGTAAAATAGGATGTTATGTGATTTGGACACTGTGCAAATACCTGTGCATATGACACATGGGGTTCCCAAGCACACTGGCCCAGGAGCCGCTGTATGGTGTGCTGCCAGTGTCTAAAGTGAGCACTCAGCTGCCCGCCGCCACCTTCTCTACAATCCAGCTGCAGAGAAAGTTGGTTCACCCTTGAGAACCTGGCTGGGGAGAATAAAGTATAACCCAAGGGGGCCAAGGATACCCGAAGCGCATTGTCTTTCTTTCAGTGCCCTATGGGACCAAACTGGGTAAAATGTGGGGACTGGGTCCACCCAGTCATGGGAGCTGAAAGGGTCCATGGATTGGGGGTGAGTTTGGTATTTTTTGGTTTGGGTTCTAAAAGAGGCATACCTAACCCCTCATATTTTCAAAGTTAAAGTAACAAAATACTTTCCATGCAGAGCTACAAACAGAAGGGATAACTACCACTATTCTACTGAGATAGGACCACAGTGACTCTGTAAGATAAGCACTGGGCTACAAACTACAAGCTCAGCGATTCAAGCCCACAGCCACTTCACTAGAGAAAGATGAAGCCTTCTGCCCCCCTCAAAGACTTACAGCCTTGGAAACCCTATACAGGATCATTATGAGTTGAAACCAATTCGTCAGTACTTAAAAACAACATTTATGAAAAAGGAAAGAAGCCTGGTAGTGTAGTGATTAAAAGTGACCGGCTGCTAACCAAAAAGCCAATGGTCTGAATCTACGGCGCGGGGGGATGTGGCAGTTTGCTTCCATTAGGACTCACAGCCTTGCACAACATAATCCACAAAGACAACACTCTACATCCTCCTTTGGCGAGTAGCTACTGGGATCTTAATAGCATATGAGCAGCCATCTAAGATGCAACTATTGGTCTCTGCCTATCCACAGGAAAAAACAGTGGCGAAAATTCAAGCAAAGGGAAACAATCAGTCCAATGAAGTAATAATGGACTACATAAACATCAGTCTCCATGACCCTGAGACCAGAAGAACTAGATGGTGCCCACCGAGCACACCCAAACCACCTGCTCTGAAAGGATCAAAATAGAAGGTCCTGGATACAGTACTCAACAACAAAATAAAAGACCAGGCTTACCGGTCAGACCGACTGATGGAACTCAGGAGACTACAGCCCTCGTCACTCTTTAAGTCTAGAACTGAACTCACATACACTCCCTACGGCAATTTTCAGCCAAACAATAAAGAGATCTATAAAGGGAACAATAACACTATTGAGATATGCACATCACAGAATGGTCAACCACTCAAGATCAAAGGGGTATCATTTACCTGAAGTTCAAAAGAGTTAAGAAAGGAGGAATGGAACAAAAATCACTTATTGTAATCAATGAGATGAAACGAAATGTCTATGAACTGTCAAATGTCAAATTGATAATCTGCTCTGCAAGTCTTCACCTAACTCACATACAAAAAAGCTTTTAAAAAAAAAATATTTACAGCTTTGGAAGTCCTATGAGGTAGTTCTCTGTCCAAACCATACCACTTACAGAAGACTGAATTGATAAATAAATACACTGTGAATATAACTTATCTTCATCTTTCAACTTATAAATGAAATTGACTACTTCCTGATACTCTGCTAAATTGTTATTTCATCAGACTTGGCCACAGAACCAACATTACTGCATTTAACAGTATATGGTATTTGAGAGGTTTCTATTTAAAACTCTCTCAATTTTTCAAATGAAGAAATGTATGGTCCAGAGTGTTTCAATGTGATGGCACCAGTATTATAACTCCGATCTCACTCTAAATGTCTGAAATAAACTGGAAAAACTAGCCTACTACTTCTCAATGGTTAAAATGTCCCTTGTTGTGCAATAATTTCACAATACAAGTGATATCTCACTTTCACTAGCTCCTGATACTCAAAGAACCCTCTAAGATCATATATATTGCAAATGTTGTTGTACTAACTCATCTTTAAAAGCATAGGCTTCTATTTTAGTTAAAAGTCATTTATTCTCATCCAGGAAAAAAAAAGTGTTCAAACCATAGCACATCACACAAACTAATAACGTACAGTTGGCCCAGGATCAGGCAGTGTTTTGTTCTGCTGTACATAAGGTCACTATGAGTCGGTGCCAACTTGATGGCACCTAACAACAAACAACAACAAACTAGAAAGAAGAAGTAACATGCTCTCCTTTCTTCAATGAGGTAGCTTAAAGTTGTTAAAATTTTACACTGAGCAGTAAGCATATAATCCACCACTAAGTACTGAGAAAAAGTATAGAGCAGATTAAGTCCAAGGAAAATTTGTTCTGGATGATCAAACAAGGGAGACCAATAAATCTAATTAACATAACTTACTCTAAACTTCTGGTATGGCGCTACAGGATAAGGGCTGGCCTGCTAACTGCTAGGTCAGAGGTTCAAACCCACAAGCCACTCCTCAGAAACCCTACATAAAATAATTAAGTTGGAAACAACTTGACAGCACTTAACTCTAAAGTCAGAACCTTATATTAACGGTCCAGAAAATTTTAACACAGTTTAACTAATCACTCATTCAATACATTTAGAATACGTGCCAGCCAACATGTACTGGATGGAACCATAATAATGAAATGACATTTGATTCTCGACTTTAAAAACAGCAATCTCATAACCTGAATAAGTACAACACTTCAATAAAAAAGAAAGATCACAAGACTATGGATTCCTGTCATATATGGATTTGACATATAATATATGTCAAATATATTAACTTTTAATCCTCAAATATGAGTTCCTACTCATATGATCAAGAAAATGATTTTATCTGTCCTTTAAGTATCACACACACAAACTGGACTATTTTGCTAGTTTATGGCGTTTCATGAATCTACTCTTTGGGATATACAAATGCTTTAGTACATAAAGTATGCTAACTGGGAAAATGTATAAAAATGTGTTGTCATACTTTAAAAACAATGTTTCAGGATATGTTACAGGATAAGCTTCCAAATCTTTTAAGTATTTTTGAAAAGAATACTTTTCGGAGTGATTTTTAAAATGATGTGAAATACACACGTAACAAGAAGTCCATCTAAAATATTAAACTGCCTAAAGCTTCTGGAATTTTAATATAAAGATCAAGCATGTTTAGACTATGTCGACTCATAATCAGGTGGCCAAAGATGACTTCACCTGGAGAACGCTGCTCTAAGTCTTGAAAAAACCCTAACTCTTACAACACCCACAGATTCACGTCTTACTTATACGCAGCTCTGTTGTCAATACTAGTTTCCCCCGGGGTTCAAAAAAAAAACCCACAATAGTAAATGGTCTTTGATTTCTACATGCAGCAATTCCACTTCATTTTTAAAGAAGGCCCACAACTTACACATTCATATCTTATACTAAAGTGGGATTTTAATGCCATGAAGGGTCCAACGGGTTCTTTCACAGCTGTCATAAAATAAGATCAAAAAAGCGACAATGGAGTGAGCCAAATAGGTCAGGAACGTGACACAAGCGTCACGAAACTTCCCGTGTATAACATTACGCATTAGAGAAAGCCCAGCAAAAATCCTAACGTGACCAAGTGACAACTGCCTACTCGCGGGGTGTCAGGCATGCTGAACCCCGACACGCGGCCTCCCCCTCGGCGGGACTTGGGCCCAGGCTCGCCTGCCACGCCCTGCGCTCCGAGGCGGCAAACCCGTCGGCCGAGTGGCGGCGGCCCTGAGAATTTTTTTCTTAGTGCGACGTTGGAGAAGCGATCGAGAGAACTCGGGCCTGGCGTAGCAGGCCGTGAACCTGGCAGAGGCGGTGGGACGCGGGCAGCAGCGGCCGCAAGACGGCGCGGCGAAAAGGCCGAGGAGGTCCGACAGAAGCCGTCCGGCCAAATCTGCAACCCGTCCTCCGCCGTTTACCGTTCCCGCCGCAGCCCAGGAGACTCGAGCCAAAGAGGCAGAGAAACCCCACCGCCCTAGTCGCGGCCTCCAGACGGGCCATAGTCCCCCAGACCTGTCTCACCTGGACTTGCCCACCCCACTCTCGCCGATGATGAGGATCTTAAGCGTAGTCAGCACGTCCTCGTCCATCCTAACCCAGCTCCCTTTCGACCCAGCTGGCCGCCCGGCTCCGCCTCTCAACCCTTCACCCTCAGAGAACTGCCCGCGCATGCGTACTGTACGGTGGCTGCCACCTTCCTTTCACACCGTGTTTAGGTTGCCCAAGCTCCGGACGCCCAGTTCCGCCTTCAGATAGCTCTGCGTCTGCGCAAACCGAGAGTCCCAGTCTTGCTCGCCTGCACGTTCCTGTCGCGCAAGCGCAGATGGGGACCGCTTATGAGTGATGATTAACTTGTTTACAGGCGCCTTTCTTCCTCCTCCCCAACTCCAACCTGACCCTCCTTCCGCTGAGTAACTGGGAGAGGATTGAGTCAAGGGGAGTATAAAGTTCGTTTATTTCTTCAGCTGTTCTTAACAGCTGCACCGTGGTGGAGAAAGCATTGTGCTTTAAGCCAGACTGTTTAAATTTAGGTCCTACCTCGTCTCGTATTACCTAGCCTTCTTAGAATACTACCTAGTACTTAGAATTATTATGAAGATTAAATGAATTAATTTGTCAAGACATATTGTAAATTAACTCTGCCAACCAGTCAATTCTTACTTATAATGTGACCCACCATAGAGATTCCAAGGCTCCCGTAAATGTTGACGGAAGCACAAAGCAGAAAGGCATGATCAGGTATTTTTAGCATCCTGGTTTACTTTCCTCTCTTAGATAACAAATACCTTTCACCTGTCCATTCATCTTAAAAGGGCGTTCACTTAGATCATCGCCAGTCGCATTCTATTCCAATTCATGTTGACCCTATGTGTGTCAGAGTTGTACTGTGCTCCATAGGGTTTTCAGTGGCTGTGATCTTTGGGAATTAGGTTGCCAGGCCTGTCTGCCATCTTGCCTCCAGAAGATACTAATGTTAGCACCATATCAGGTGCATACAAACCAGTGGTAGTGCAAACAACCATTTCTCCTTCAAAACAACTATTTCGGCTCCTAAAAATTGCCACACCAAGACTGAACAAATTGTCTGTATGTACCTTGCCTCTAAGGAGCTCTGGTAGCGTAGTGCTTACGAATCAGGCTGCGAACCTCAAGGTCAGCAGTTCGAAACTAACAGCTGTTCCGCAGGAGAAAGATGAGGCTTTCTGCCCCCTTAAAGATTTACAGCCTCGTAAACCCTGTACAGGGTCGCTATGAGTCGGAACCTACTCCATGGCACACAACAACAACAACAACATAAGACCTAGCACCCTAGCAAAGTGCCTGATGCATAGCGGGCATTCAATAAACAGTTCTCTGGTGTGGCAGTGTGGTTTCATGTATTGGACAGCAAAGTCGGTTTGAACTGCAATGTCAGCAGCTCAAGCTCACCAGCCACTCCCCATATGAATGGGTCGGAACTGACTTAATGGTACTTAACAACAATGTTGGAGTGGCACTGTAGGATAAGCACTAGACTACTTACAAAAAGGCTGACAGTTTAAATCCACCAGCCATTTCTAGGAAACCCTATATGGGGTTGCTATGAGTCAGAACCCTGGTGTGGCGCTGTGGGTGAATGCCAGCTGCTCCTCGGACAGGGTCGCTATGGGTTGGAACCGACTCGATGGCACTTTACAGCAATATCATATTGTTGTTGTTATGTGCCGTGGAGTCAGTTCCGACTCATAGCGACCTTATACAGGGTTTCCGAGGCTGTAAATCTTTACGGGAGCAGAAAGCCTCATCTTTCTCCCGCGGAACAGCTGGTAGTTTCGAACTGCTGACCTTGCGGTTCGCAGCCCAATTCGTAACTATGTTTTAATGATCCCTGATGGCTAAGCACTCTGCTGCTAACCAAACAGCCATTTGAAAACACCAGCTGCTCTACAGGGGAAAAAACAAACTATTCTTGTCAATTTGCTCCCAAAAAGAGTGTCATTGTTGTTAAGTGCCATCTTGTGAAACAGATTTGCTGAATGCAATACATCATTTAATTTCCTGACTGCTGTTCCCATGGGTGTTGATACTGGATCCAAGCAAAGTAAGGTCTTTGGCAACTTCAATCTTTTCTCCATTTATCATGATATTATTTATTGTTACAGTTGTGAGGATTTTTGCTTTCTTTATATTCAGGTGCAATCCATACTAAAGGTTGTGGTCTTCATAAGGAAGTACTTTATAAATTGTTATGGCTTTCAGCAAGCAAGGTTGTATCATCTGCATATCGCAGGCTGTTAATGAGTGTTTCTCCAATCATGATACCACATTCATATTCATCTAATCCATCTTCTCAGATTAATTGCTCAACATACAGATTGAATAAGTATGGTGAAAGAATACAACCCTAGCGTACACCTTTCCTGATTTTAAACCATTCAGTGTTTCCTTGTTCTGTTCAAACAACTGTCTCTTGGTCTATGTACAGGTTCCTCATGAGCACAATTAAGTGTTCCTGAATACTCGTTCTTCGCAATGTTGTCCATAGCTTGTTGTGATACAACAATTAAAAGCATTTGCATAGTCAGTAAGCACAGGTAAACATCTTTCTGATATTCTCTGCTTTCAGCCAAGATCCATCTAATATTAGCAATGATATCCCTCATTCCACTCCTTATCTCAATCCAGCTTGACCCTCTGGCAGTTCCCTGTCAATGTACTATTGCAAGCATTTTTAAATTATCTTTAGCAAAATTTTACTTGCATGCAATATTAATGATATTGTCCAATGATTTCCACATTCCGCTGGGTCAGCTTTCTTTGGAATGGGCACAAATTTGGATCTCTTAGAATCAGTTGGCCACGTAGCTGTCTTCCAAATTTCTTGGCATAGATGAGTGAGCACCTCCAGTGCTGCATCAGTTTGTTGAAAGAATTCAATTTGTATTCCATTAAATCCCGGAGTTTTATTCTTTGCCAATCCCTTCAGTGCACCTTGGACTTCTTCCTTCCCTAAAACTGGCTCCTGAATTTTTTCCTTAGTTCTTTCAGCTTGAGAAATGCTGTACATGTTCTTCCTTTTTGGTTTCTAACTCCGGGCCTTTGCACATTTCATTATAATATTTGACTCTGTTTTCTTAAGCTGCCCTTTGAAATTTTCTGTTCAGCTCTTTTACCTCCTCATTGCTTCCATTTGCTTTTGCACCTCTACACTGAAGAGCATGTCTCAGGGTCTCTTCTGACATCCATTTTGATCTTTTCTTTCTTCATTGTCTTCTTAATGACCTTTTGTTTTCTTCCTGTATGATGTTCTTGATATTATCCCACAACTTTTCTTTTTTTCAGTTATTGGTGTCTAATGCTTCAAATTTGTTCTTGAGATGATCTTTAAATTCAGGTGGGATATGTTCAGAATCATAGTTTGGCTCTTGTGGACTTGTTTTAATATTATTCTGCTTCAGCCTGAACTTGCATATGAGCAATTGTGATCCCACAGTGTGCCACTGGCCTTGATTTGGGTGATGATATGGAGCTTTTCAGACATTTCTTTCCACAGATGTCGTCAGTTTGATTTCTGTGTACTCCATCTGATGAATTTCATGTGTATAGTCATTTTTAATGTTGTTTAAAATTTAAAAAAAAAATTTTTTTTTTGCAATGAAGAAGTCATTGGTTTTGCAGAATTCTATTGCGCGATCTTCAGCATAACTTCTAGCATCAAGGCCTCATTTTCCAACTACTGATCCTTTCTCTTTATTTCCAACCTTTGCATTTCAATCACTGTTGCTATCTGACAGTGTTTCACTGCTATTCATAAGGTTTTCAATGGCTAAACATTCTGAAGTAGTCTGCCTCTTCTTTCAAGTCTGTCTGTCTGTTGTTGTTGAGTACCGTGGAGTTGGTCCCAACTCATAGTGACCCTGCACAGGGTTTCTGAGGCTGCAAATCTTTACGGGAGCAGAAAGCCTCATCTTTCTCCCGTGGAACCGCTGGTAGTTTCCAACTGCTGACCTTGAGGTTGGCAGCCTGACTCATAAGCACTACGCTAACAGAGCTCCATAAGCTCAGCTAAAATTTGTCTACCAAGTCACCTTGCTAGTATTTAAAATACTGGTGGCATAGCTAACAGCATCACAGCAACATGCAAGCCACCACAGGACAACAAAGTGACAGAGAAGTGAGTGACAGATTTATGGCCTGACTGCTAATAATTTGTTCCTCTAGCATAGTGGTTACTAATCGGGCTGCTAACCTCAAGGTCGGCAGTTTGAAACTACCAGCTGTTCCGTGGGAGAAAGATGAGGCGTTCTGCTCCCGTAAAGATTTGCAGCCTCGGAAACCCTGTGCAGGGTCACTATGAGTCGGAACCAACTCCATGGTACTTAACAACAATATCCATCTTCACCCTGGATACTTTTTGAGATTTAAATTAGGAAGTAATTGTTTTGTTTGACAACAAATCATTATCCAACAGTGCCACACCAGAATTCCTAGAAGGGTAACACAAAATCTCACTGTTATAGATCAGTTTCTGACAGGTTTTTGCAGTTTGAGTCAGACTTTTTATGGTCAATATTTGGTTTTGTGCATAAGAAAACCCATAAAATCATTTTCCTATTCCACATCTTTATATGCCCTGATGATGCATCCAACGTCACCTCTTGCTTTCCCATGCTTTGAACTCTGTTCTCCAACCACTCTGAATGACTTTCACATTCTCACTGAACCATGTTTTGTTTATCTTCAAGACCTTACACATCCTGTTCCTTCTGTCTGGAGCCCTCTCTCTTCCCACCCCTCCACCCCATACATACACACAGTCTTAGTCTCCTGTTGTTGTTAATTTAAGTGCCATTGAATTGGTTCCTACTCATAGCAATCCTGAGGCTGTAAATCTTTGTAGGAGCAGAAAGCCTCACTTTTTTCCCAAGCATTACCTGGTGGGCTCAAACCACCAACTTTGTGGTTCACAGTCTAGTGCTTATCCTCTAGAGCTACAGTGCTCTTGTATTAGTCTACTAGTGTTGCTGTAACAGAAATCCTCAAGTAGATGACTTTAAAGAATAAATACGTATTTTCCCACAGTTCATGAGGTTCCCACTGCCATCAATCCAATTCTGACTCGGAGAACTCCAAATTCAGGGTAGTAGTTCTAGGAGAGGAGTCC